CGGGGCCATAATTTACTTTAAGTCCTGCAACCTGTCCATACTCTATAATCGTATCCATTAGATATGTTAATGATACTTTTGGATTCTCTAATATAAATACTAGGTCATCCGCAAATGCTAACAATTTATAGGTCTCGTCTCTAATTCTTAAGCCTTCAATTAAGTTGTTACTCCTTATCCTATTGTTCAAGGACTCTAGTGCAAATATAAACAACAGTGGTGACATTGGGCACCCTTGCCTTGATCCCTTTTGAATTTTTATATTATTAGTTAGGTCTCCATTCACTATTACTTTAGCATATTGAACAGTATACAGGGATTTAACCATTTTATGAAAATACTGCCCACAGTCGGCTCTTTTTAATTTTTGTAGTAAAAATTCCCATGACAAATTATCAAAAGCCTTTTCTGCATCTAAGAATAGTAACAATAACTCTTTATCCGGGCGTTCTTCATAATATTCTAAAACGTCTATAATTACTCGTAAGTTATTCCACATTTGTCTTTTAGGGAGGAAACCCATCTGATCTTGGTGTATTATTTGGGAGAGTACCTTCTTCAATCTATTTGCCAAGATTCCTGCAAATATCTTATAGTCAGCATTTAATAATGATATAGGTCTGTAGTTTTTAACGTCGCTTTAATCCGAATTTGGCTTAGGGATTAAAGTGATTACCGTGTGATTCCAATACTCCAGTATTCTTTCTGATGTCTCTATATTCTGGAGAGTGTCTTTTAACACTAAACCTATCTCTTCCTCAAATGTTTTATAGAATTCAGCGGGAATTCCATCAGGGCCTAGGGCCTTTTTTTTTTTTTAATAGCTTCTGATAGCTCAAACACTGTTATGGGCTCATTCAAGATCTCTCTCTGCTGATCATTAAATATATTCTTATCTTCATTCAAATAATTTTTGATTAATTCTTCGTCCTGTTGGTCACGCTCATATAGCTTCTTATAAAAATTTTCTACTATTAATTTCAGCTCATGTAAATTAAACCTTTCTTCATTTTTATCATTGCATAATTTAACTATTGTATGTTTTGTCCTTTCTTTCCTCACTTTATACGCTAACCACCTATTGGGTTTGTTTATATTTTCAAAATAATATTGTTTTGTGTATTCTATTCTTTGCTGTATTTCGAAATTTAATAATAGGCTCAATTTGTGATGGAGAAAATTTAATTTAATTATATTATTTCTACCGTTGCTAGCATTTTTCATGATGGTTTCCTGTAATTTAATTTGTTGTGTTAATTCATCATACTCTTTTTTCCCCTGTTTATTTTTCCATATGTTTTGACTAATAAAGTGTCCTCTTATATAGGCTTTAAAAGACATTTGTCCAAAAATGTAAAAAGGAAATAGTGGAATTCTTCAAGATAAATAAAAATGCAGATACCCCCAGGGAAATTGTAATTCCAGGATCTTGCCAGGTTTCACCTGGAGGCTGGCAATCCTAAAGGCAGGCCACCACCACTGAGAAGGCCCTGTTCACAAGTAGAATTTGCAGCGGGAGAGGCACGAATGTCAGGCGGAGTATACGGGCCCGATCACAAGGACACATCTGGCAAGCATAGCACACCCATCGCCGACCCATAGCATCTGCCCGAAGATCCGGACTTAAAAAATACCCAGGAAAGCCTACTAGCAAACGGTTTGCTATGGGCCGTTGATGGAATACCTACATGTGATCGTTCAAGCGTGCTCTTGACACCCACCAAAAACACCCGCCGACAAACAAAACCCCACTTTGCCACCGCGGCGTCTGATCACGTTCTGGCTCGTTAAATTGCGCCGGTGTGAAAAGCCACACTTCCCCCCCCCCACGTTATCCAGCCCATGTGGCCCGGGCCTTAGTATGATCTTTTCTTATTTAAAATTACTAAAAATCATAAGCTGAAATGAACTTCTGAACTCACTCTTTGAAACAAAAAATCCCACTATAAATCTTGGGCTCTGACAGGTGGAAAGTACCTCCTAATTGAAAATTTGCTTGTCAGTTTCACTAGTCCCACAGGACTCAATTTTAAGAGTTTTCTACTCACAAAGAGAAATTATTGGACCTTATGTCCTGTAAGTACATCACGGTCCTTGAAAAAGATTGTATTCGATACAGGTAAACTACCAGAGTCTAGTGATTGTGAAACTGACAAGATGCTTGTTTGAATGTTTGAACATAGCGTAAACCTGCACTTTGATGTATTGTTTGGGTAAAACCTATGTTTGGTAATACTTGACACCAATATTTATATAACAGTACAGAAAAATGTTTAAAAATAAAAAGGACAAAATAGATTTACCTTAAGCATACATCTGTTATACACAGCATTACGCCATAGAGATTGGCAAACCCTAACTAAGCGTCCTTGAAAAAGAGCCGTTTGTGTCAGAGTTCTCTCAGCCCCACCCACCTCACAGGGTGTCTGTTGTGGGGAGGGGAAGGGAAAGGAGTTTGTAAGCCGCTCTGAGACTCCAAGTGAAGGGCGGGGTATAAATCCAATCTCTTCTTCTTCTTCTACTTTGAGCCTCTTTGGGAGAGAAATTTGGTCTGAAAACTGAGATAAGATGTCCAATGTTTTCAATTGATTTGTTAGTGGCTGTGTCTTGTTGGGTTTTATTATAAGGAAGTTGTTTGACTGGTTTTGTTGTTGTGAGTAACCAGGACGAAACGTGGGACAAAGCATTCAAAATAAATTCAGACATAAATGAAAATAGAATCCATTAAAATACCATAAGGTGAAAACTTTGTGCACAAAGTCATTTCAAAAAAATATATTCAAGGGGGGTATAATTCATATCACACAAGCCAGAAAACACATTATGCCATCAGAAATCTTGCAGTGTTGGGTACACGCCTTCAAAATGTACACTTAGCTAAACTTTTATACAATGAACACATTTTTTAAAAAAATCAGTTTTTAATAGCATGCAGGAGATAAGTAAGGGAAGAGTCAAACTTAGAACAGAAACTCTGCATGATGCCTGGTTTTGATTTGAGAATATAGAGGATTATCTTTTAAAAACAAAGGAAAAACAAGAAGCAAAAACAGCAGGTAAATTATCACAAGTCCTCTGAATTATCACAGAGCCTTGAAAGGGATTGGGTCTGTGTCTGCTGATTTATTGACTGAAAACAAAGGAACTTCAGGAACAGAATGGAAAGGGAAAATGCTGAATTACAAGTTATTACAACACTTGGAACAAAGTCTTCCCCAGGACTCAACAGGGATATTGGTTTCTTATCTCATTACATATGCTAACTAATTCAGTCCTCTGTATTTCAGTGTATTTCTTTTTCAGAATAGTATATTAGAATACTGAATGTTATACAAGGAATATTATTTTTATTTATTTATTCACATTTATTTAGTTTTTGCATAATATTGGATTGTTTGGCTGACATATGCTGCTTCCACCTAGAAAGAGAAAGTAAAAATGCTGTCAAGTGACCTCTGAGAATGAATGGAGAGTCTCACATTTATCTTGACATATTTATTGCTTTACAACTTTTGACCTTACAACCTTAGCTTGTTATTTAATTCTGTTTTTGCATAGCATAAAACATCCTCATCATGCTACGTTGTTAATTTGCTGTTCATCTGTCTATAAGTTTGAACCTTACCTCCCATTCTACTGTATTTGAAAAAGTGTGCTTTGCACATGAAAGCTCATACCTTGAATAAACCTTTGTTGGTCTTAAAGGGGCCACTAGACTCTAAATTTGTTCACCTGACTCTTGAGGTTTGTTTGTTTATTGTTATGCTTCAAGTGTAATGCTCAAGAATGGAAACAAACATTTTCACACTGGCAACACACACAAATCCCAAATGATTCACTATTTGAATAAAAGGAATAAGGTAAAAGGCAGCATGGGAAAGAGCAGGTAAAGAAAGAGGTACTTTTCTCCCTTTCTCACAATACAAGAACTCGTGGGCACTCCATGAAACTGCAGAGCGGTCGGGTTAGAACGGATAAAAGGAAGTACTTCTTCACCCAAAGAGTGATTAACACATGGAATTCACTGCCACAGGAAGTGGTGGGTGCTACAAGCATGGACGGCTTCAAAAGGGAATTAGATAAGCATATGGAGCAGAGGTCCATCAGTGGCTATTAGCCACAAGGTATAGCTAGGGGCTCTGGGGCAAGTGATGCTCTGTCTTCTTGGTGCTTGGGGGGGGCAACAGTGGGAGGGCTTCTAATGTCCTGGCCCCACTGGTGGACCTCCTGATGGCACCTGGTATTTCTGGCCACTGTGTGACAGAGTGTTGGACTGGATGGGCCTTTGGCCTGATCCAACATTGGCGTCTCTTATGTTCTTATGTTCTTATTTGAATAAAAGGAATAAGGTAAAAGGCAAGTTCAAAATGTAGACGCCAAAGAAAATTCATTTCCCTCCAATCCCACATAGTTTCAGTGCCCCAGAAGTGAGATATGCGCAGGAAGGGCTTCTCATACATCATTTTAAAAATTGGCGTCAAATTAATGTGTAAAGTGTCAAACTGAAACCATTGTTGGCCTTGTACAACAAGTAAGGTAAAAGGTAAAGGTTCCCTTGCTTGAAAGTCAGTCGAGTCCGACCCTAGGGTTGCTGTGCTCATCTCCATTTCAAAGCCGAAGAGCCAGCGCTGTCCAAAGACGTTTCCGTGGTCATGTGGCCGGCATAACTAAACACCAAGGCGCACGGAACACTGTTACCTTCCCGCAGAAGTGGTACCTATTTATCTACTTGCAATTTCTTGCTTTCGAACTGCTAGGTTGGCAGGAGCTGGAACTACAGACGGGAGCTCACTCCGTCATACGGCACTCAGGTCTCGAACTGCTGAACTACTGACCTTCCACAGCCTGCAGTTCAGCGTCTTAACCACTTGAGCCACCGCAGCTCCTACAACATGTAAACAAAAGCACTATTTGCTCTCTCTCTCTTTCTAGGCGAGAGCAACATCTGTCTTCCCGTGAGTCTCCCAACACTCTGAATATTCGCCACACCTCAGTAGAAGATGGAGTCCAAAGTCTCTGAGGGTGGTCTGAATGTGACCCTCACAATCCGACTTCTGATGCACGGCAAGGTGAGTGGGGGAGCCGGCGGTTCCCGGCAACGATCCTTTCATTCAAATTGGTGTTGATACAAACCAAGGTGGTGGCACGCATACAACAGCCACTACGCTCTGTGCCCTGAGAAGTGCGTGACCCACAAACACTCCCAAACTTGGATTTCCACTTTGTCAGGAAGGAAGTTATGTGCTTTTATTCAAGGACATTTCTACAAGCATCTTTTGGAGGCAGATGCTGGCTGCCGGCTTGCTTAGTGGGAGAAATTCTGGAAGCTGATGTACAGAGACCTGGGGCCAAATTGGATGAGACATTGCTGCCTTCAGTGATCCCAGCATTTGTTTGTAGGGTTGCCAGGTCTGGGTTGAAAAATACCTGGAGACTTTGGGGGTGGATCCAGGAGACGGTGGGGTTTGGGGAGGGGAGGGGCCTCAACATGGTACAATGCCATAGAGTCCACCTTGCAAAGCAGCCATTTTCTCCAGGGGAGCTGATTTCTGTCAGCTGGAGATCAATTGTAAAAGCGGGAGATCCCCAGGCCCCACCTGGAGGCTGGCAACCCTATTTGTTTGTTTGTTTTTAAATTCAGTTATCAGTAGGGTTGCCAAGTCCGAAGCTACGCTGGAGCGGGGGACTCCAGTGCAGCTCCGGGAGTGCGCTGCAACCCCGTCACCCGGATGTGACATGACCACGCCAGGCATGCTGGGGGCGGGGCCACGACCATCCGAGGAAAAACCATAGTTTTTCCCTCGGATGACCGTGGCCTTGCCCCCAGAGTGCCCGGCGTGTTCGCGTCATTTCCGGGTGACGTGCACGTTGCGTGCTTTGGGGGTGGGGTTCCCCTGGGGCCTGATCCGCCGCCAGTGGGAACGGGCCTCTGGGGCCGGGGTTTCCCCGCCCCCTGGGGGAACTTGGCAAGCCTAGTTATCAGGCATGGGGCCCGAGTTAGGTTGGAACCATGGTAGGTAGGGTTAAAAACTTCTGGGTGAGGCCTGGAGATTTTTCCAGAATGATAACTGACTGCAGAGGTCAGTTACCCTGGGAGAAAATGGCCGCTTCGGAGATTGGACTTAATGGCAGTATACCCCACTGAGGTCCCTCCCCAAACTCTGCCCTCTCCGGACCCTACCCCCGAATCTCCAGGGGTTTCCCAACCCAACGCTGGCAACGCTGGCATCTACGGAGAGCAAAAAAATCAGTATTCACAAGAGGTTCTCAGCTCAGAAATCCCTCTAGCTGGCCTGGGGGATGCCCAAAGGAACTTTCTGGAGCCCCTTTTCTTTAGGGTATCTTCTGGTTTATTCATAAAGACATTGCATTTTCTCTCATGACTGACTGAAATGGCTCACTTGTTAAAACAGGCATGTCGTGAGCCATGCTCCCTCTAAGCTGTGGAGTCTTGTGAGCAAAAATTCTACTTTGTGAGCTCCTGTGAGCAAGGGATTTGGCTACTGCATAAATTAGTTTGCTCTGGAGCCATCCTTCCTGAGCTAAGACAAAAATGTGTGAGCCAGAGGCTAAAAAACGGTGAGCTAGCTCACACTA